TGAGGTCAGCCAGCTCCTGTAGCACCCTTGGCCAACACAAGTGAGAAGCCCCACTGGCATCAGACCCACTTTCCTGCCGGGCCAAAGACCCAGCATCAACCCTCTGGCTCAGTTGGCTCCATCAGTTGGGCTCCTGAAGAGTCCAGAGAGAGCCCAGCCACATGGATCTTCATAGAGGGGAAAGAAACTCCTGACATTGCTAAATGTCCAGTACAAGTTCGTGTTCTCTAAAGTCAAAGAATGAATTTTTGGAACAATGGCAGTTAAGAGCAGAATATATTTATTGAGAGAAAGAAAGCTTCTGTCTGAGGAACTCAGTAATTACTCTCTAAAAAGCTGTCATGTATGGTGGTGCATGCCTAGCACTTGGAAGGCAGAGTCAGGAAGACTGCTATGATTTCAGGGCCAGCCTAAAGTACAAAGTGAGCCCTTGTCTCCAAAACCAAAAACTTATAAGCGGCAGCATGTCCAGAGCCAGTGTTTTCTCAAGCACTTTCTTCCCTCACTTTGCTAACTGCACTGTCCCAAATTCCTTTTCTTTTTTTTTTTATATTTCCTATTACACTTCCTCATTTTTTTTTAATTTTAAAGAGGGCAAAATTAAACAGAACAAAACAGATCATAAGGAAACAATTTTAAGAAACACAGATTTCAAAGCAAGACTACTGGAGATCTCCACTGTCTATCGTATTGTCTCTTGTTTTCTTCCAAATAGTTGTCCACATCTTCACACACAGTGAATACATACTGAACATTATAGTACTAAACTAATCAGAACAGGATGATGAAGGCTTTTTAGGTCTTCAAGACTAGGCAATAGGAAAGTCAACATTAGCTGCCATAAAATCTCTCATTCTCTTTGAAATAGCTGTCCATATCCTTACATATGTTGAAATTAAACATAAGAGACTAATATCACTCTGAACAGTGAATAATAGTATTGCTAGATTTTATATCATAATGCTACAGAATTAGCACTGGGTATCTTAGTGTTTTCTTCTTCAGAGTATCTGTTCATTACATCATGTATTATATAATCTGTTCCTGTAAACTGTTTAGAAATTCTACACGTGTATACCTATCCTTTCTGTATTACAGGGAACAACAGATCAAAACAAGACAACAAAATAAATTCCTAGAAAAACATGAAACGAAAACGACATATAAAACCACAATACTAGGTAATCTACAGTAGTTACTATGCTATCTCTTGTTATTCTCAATAGAATTGTCTACATCATCAGGTACAATATAATTGAACGTAGCATTACATATACATGTTGTGTTTTAATAAAAACACAACATTGGAGGCATTGTAGGACTTCAAAAACAGTTAATAATCAAAGCGGAATGGGTATCTTATTGCATCTTGTCATCTTCAGAGTAGTTGCCTCTACTCTTAGACTTGATACTATCAAGCATACCAAATTCGAATAAAATCAGTCAAGACAAAACAGCGGTCTAACAAACCAGTTCAAATAAGATCAGTCATAGTAAGACAATGTAAGTAATACAGGGCTTCAGTTTAAGTTAATAGGAAATTAAACATAATTACCGTAGTATATCCTGCTATTTTTGGGATAGTTGTCCGTGCCCTCAAATCTAGTATGAGTAGACAGAGCGGAACAAAATATAATCAAACTAAACAGAGCAATAAGACTAATGTGGCTTTTAAATCCTCCGGCTGGCTCTACCCACCACTGGATCAATTTCCAGCACTCACCACAAATTAATGCAGCCTCCACCTTGGCTCCATTCTACACTGCGCCATGTCCTCCCGCCAAGAGCCCCAGACTTACCAACTTCCATTTTCAGCGTTCACGGTGTCAGTGCGACCGTGAATGTTTGGACTCCCTGGCACACCCAGCACAGCGCAGACCTGTCCCAGTGAGCGCATCTGATCCCAGCCTTTCATCCACGTTTTTCTTTTTTTTTTCCCCCAGTTTCTTCGTGGGTCATGAGAATCACTCTCCTTCTGTCTGGTCTTTTCCATGTTGTTAAATTCTAGCGTCTGAGTTATTTTTCTCAGAGAGGCTCTCTACCCTGCTACCTATCAAGCCACCATCTTCAGAACTCCCCCGAATTCCTTTTCACAGACTGGCCTCTTCCCTTCCTCCTCCAAGCCTGAGCCAGTGTCAAACTCTCTGCATCTCTGACTTGTTGCTGCCTTTAGCTTCCTAACATTTTTCCTGATGATTTCTTGTCCTCTTCCTCCTTCTGCTTCTGTCCCTATCTTTCCTTCTCAGTGTGCAGATTCCCCCAGTGTCTCGTTGTTCTTATCTCCAGACTCACACCTCTAACATCTTCACCTGCCAGGCTTTAGAATCCCATGAGGATGGGTGTGCTGCTCTTGGAAAGCTTGGGGAGACATGTGGGGTGCATAGGACTGGAGCACCTCAAACCTGGAATCCAGCTCACCTCAGCCAGGAGATGACCTCCTGTCTCTCAGGTCTGCCCATTTCTGGGATCTAATTGCTGAGTCCAAGGATCAGCAATGTGACAGCAACTCTGATCTGGGTGGTGCACATGTGTCTGTGCATGAGGAACCCTGGGAGTGTTCATTTACCCCTACTCTGGGTTTCCTTTTTAAAAGTTCTCCCCAGGCTCCCTTAAACATCTACTTTAGTGGCTGGCTTCAGGAGCCTTTGGAGGGGAAGGTGCAAACTGGGTCCTCCCACCTTAGACTTCTCATAAGCATCTCTAAGGGAACTTACAGTCCAGGAGGGTTAAGAACTATGGCCCAAAATTGCTGTCCCATTTCTTGTTCCATTTCTTCGTGGTTTTCTTCAAAGAACCACTGGCTGTGCAAAGCACACGGAGCTGTCGAATTGTTAACATTCTGGAAGCGAAGTGGAAGACAACCACGCTCTGGGAAAAGCTGAGCAAAACCCCGGCCATGCTCTGGGAAAAGCTGAGCGAAACCCCTTGTGGTGCCCAGGAAGACAAACATGCTCAACCTTTAATTAAAGTAACTGCGGGATGCCAGGCCTTGGGGCTGCCTGGTCCACGAAACCCAGACAGAGCAGTGAGGAGAGGAGTGTCCAGGTGTGACCTCTGCAGACCCTGCCTGTCTTCCAGCAAACCTCTCTGCCATGTGTGTGTGTGTTGAGGCCACATCTGGCTCACTGGCCATCTCTCAGAGGTTTGGTGTGCACTGCCTACTCCTCTGGGCCCCAACGAGCATCTCTGCTCCTTCCCATCTGCTCAGAACCAGACAGCAGAGGTACCTATCTATGGGGGGTCACCACTAGTCATCTCCCAACATCTACTCTCCCTTCTGCTTAGTACCTTCCCCCTCCAACTTCTTAGCTGAGCATAATGCTAGTCAGGAAACAGATCGTATCTCACATGTGACTATGTTTCAGTCAATGAGATAAAAGGGAAAACTCTCTGGTACTTCTGGGAAGTTTCCTGGAAAATGGAGAGTGCCATTTTTACCCTGCCTTCCTTCTCACTGCTGATAGTGGGAAAAGGATAGCTGGAGCTCCAGCAGCCATTTTAGAGTAGGGAGTAACCTTGGGAAAGGAGCCTATGCAGAGCAAAGCAGAAAGAGATAGATCTCAAATGCTACCAAGTTGACATGCCAGGGTTGAACGCTGTGCCTCTGTGCTTCTGTTATAACTGAAACGAACTTTACATACCAAAACCTGACAGTGGTTTAAATTACTATTTTGAAGTCTGTATGATACCGACAGTGTTTTAAAAAATGCAGTCTCAGCATGTGGGCCAGGAGCTTGCTTATATTCATTCATTCCAGAATGCGCCTTGGGGATGCACTCATGTTGTCTTATTTTTCATATTTTTATGGTACATTCTTCCTACAGACACTTTCAAGAGCTTGAACTCTCAGCCTTGAGCCAAGTATCTGATGCCCTTATTTGTCCCTTTCTGAGAAGTGCACTTGCTCATGTGTGTGTGGAGGGGTCCATCATCCTGAACCACGATGACAACTACACTTTGGAAATCACCAACATGGCTATCAGGAGGGCTAAGATTAAATAAGCAGACAGTCGTGCCTTATAGCAATTATGAAGAATGATTCAATGATAATGCAGGTCACTGAGGCAATTATTAACAGCTATAGTTCACTCTGTGTCTAGCATAAAGCCATTATACAAAACACCAAAAAAGGAAAATACATGCACCGGGCCTATTTCTCAGCCAGACTGGATGTGGAATCACTACCAGTCATTACCTTAAGGAGGGCTTTGAGATTATGGAACGTATAGGGAGCCACTGAAGCTTGAGATTGATTACATATGTGGGGCTAAAGCAAGGCCAGCCCAGAAAAAACAGAAAGTCCAAAACAAGCTATGTAACAAGTTGTTCCAGCACCAAGAAGGCAAGGGGCTCAGGCCTGCCAAGCAATGGGCTGCTAGGCAGAGGGGCTGAAATTGACATCATCTTTCCCAGTATATAAATAAAGGTGTTACAGTGGTTGAGTTCCTTTCCTCCCATCAGGAGGATAAAGGCTCCACCTGACTCCAGTTTTGTCTTTTATTTTTCTCATCTTCTCACTGGTCCTTAACCCCAAGAACCTCAGGAGCTGCATGGATCACGGCAGGAGAGTCAGGGTTCTAGGGGCCTCCCTTATTGTACCATATTGTCATATCACTAAACTTACTTAACAAAAGACACAAGGGCAGGAGATACGAAGGAAGTAAATTTGTGGGAAGGCAGGGGAAAGATTCAAAACGTTTTTTCTGTACTCTACCTTCTGATAGGGTTTACCCCTGGGCAAAGGAACTTTTTTGAGACTAGTAACACCTATGTGTCTGCCACCTTCTCAAAATGAATTTATTCTTCCCTGCCACTCATATCAATGGCTTCAAATGAAAGTACTTGTGTGTTCACAAATCAAGTATTATATTTGCATAATGCCTTCTAAATCAGAAATGGAGCGCACGCATGCTGTATTCAAAGAGGGACTTCATATGCTGTAAGTCTACTTTGACTGCTGTAACATTGCCGCACACAGACTGGGAGGCTGGAGACACAACTGAGACTTATTTTTATTGTTCTGGAGGCTGGGAAGCCCAAAATCAAGTTACCACAGACAGCTAAGCTAGACAGAAATTCATAGGCAGTCAAACAAGGATGAGCCCTCGAGGGAGTCAGCACGGAAGATGAAAATTCATCAAAACTGCAGCTGTAGGAACATCCAAAGGAGCCCAGTCCTCAAGACTGAGGCAGGATGGCCTGGCCTTCATGTCTCCCTAAGGGGTAAACAGCAATTTGAGATTATTCTGTAATTAGCAGTACCCAGTCCAGTAAGTCCAGATGGGCCTCAGGTGTCTAGATGAGTGACCAGAACTTCCAGATCCATCCTCCCATCCCTTCCTGTCCCTTCCTTAAAAAATACCTTTGTTCTTCCTGTGTTAAAAGATAAACCAAAGTGAATGATGCTTACCGTACACTCCTGCCAGTGCTGTGCTTTCCTACTGGACCAGTATTAGCTTTGTGCCATCCTTGTGATCCTGCCGGTTGACTGCAGTTTGACCCACGGTGTACCCATCTTGTGATTTTGCTTGACAGAACATTCGCAGAGCAAGCATGTCTGGGGCCACCCCTTTCCAGGGCTACCTGCTTTCCGGGATCCCTCTTGTCTCTCAAGAACTTTCTCTCCATAAGCCTTTCCTACTCTTCACTTCTGTCCTCATTCTTTGATATTCTAGAGACACGAACTCAGCACCACTGACCTCTAGCAGGCTGAGAGTTATTTTTTCCTGCAGATTCAGTATCTACAAGAAGTAGGACCTGGTTACAAATCTTGGTCCTCTGTGTGTGTTCATAGGGGGAGGGGCAGAGGAGTCTCTGGGTTTAGGGCACTGATGCCATTCATGGGGGCTCTGCCCTTAGAACCTGATCACTCTGGAAGGGCGACCTCCCAATAGCAACAAGTTAGAGATCAGGCTTCCTCCTTTGGGGGAGCACATACACATTCAGCCTACAGCATTATGTTAAAACTGTTTTCCTCTGTGAAGAGGGATGAGACTATTTAGAAAGACTGGATGTTAAAAGAGCAGCTGAAGTTCAACGGGACCCTAAGAAAATAGAGGCTCATTTCCAGCCATGGTGAACCAGCACACAAGTTTACCTGTTAAACCCATGAACATCTCCAGATAACGATGCACTCACTGGATACCTGCAAATATTTATGACATATGAAGGGCTGGCCCTGTTCATATAAGTACATCTAAAGTATCTTTAGACCTCAATGAACCACCAGTCTAATTTACTAGTACAGTAGTGGCAAATACTGTATTCCATACAGAGCTACATTAACAGTGGGGAAAATTCACAAATGCTGGATATTCCAAGTGTGATCTGAGGACCAGCAGCATCTGCATTGCACAGGGGAAGCTGAGACCCAAGCTTTGCACAATCTCATTTTAGCGAGATCCTCGGGTGATGTTAATTGTTACTAAGATTTGGAAGTGAACTGCAGGATTACAGGAAGGTCCACTATCCATCCATCCCTTGGGAAGTGGTGGCATAAGTGACTATGGCAGTCAGAAAGAGCACAAAGGATACTAGAATGAGAAGTTTAGCTTGGAAGAGTGCACACTCTGGAAGGTGTGGAAGATGAGACAATGTGGCAGGAAAGGCAGGCCAGCACCAGTGGCACAAGGGCCACTCTGACTTACTGAGGATGCTGGAACAGAACATCTTAAGGGCAGTAACACCATTCAGTTCTTATGTTTGGATATAACTGGAGGCAGAAGTGAGAGGCCATGGCAGACAGACACATGTCCTTAACTGAATAAGCTTGAGTTTTAAGACTGGAAAGAAAGCCTCCTGGTTCCAGGCAGCCACCACGTCCTCTGCAGACCAGACCCTCTGCAGACCAGACGGATAAAGTTAGACACACAATTTCTCAGCCTGTGATCTGAATCCAATAGTAATAGCTCACCTGCGGAGTGTTAGAAATGCAAACTTTGAGGTCTCACCCAGTCTGTACTGAGTAGGAAACTTACAAACGTGACTTGGAGCAGCCCTGTTGGAGTCTACCACAGACCTGCAGCCAGTGGTAAAGACTTAAAATTGCCCCAACTTCCTTATTGCCTTAAAAATAAAAAATAATGCGAAACGGTCTATACTGAGAGGGCAGAACAAAAACCACATAGAGCAGCTTTAAAATAGTACCCAGAATTAAAATAACAAGCCTGAAAAACCCCATACTGACTGCCTTGTCCAGAAGCCTCATATTTGGGGAATTAAAATAGTTTCGGTATAGACCATTATGTTCTTGGCAGCCTAAATTACGTACAATTTAATGTGAAGTAACCTTCCCACTTGTAAATCCTCCCTGATACCCTCTGGAAAAGCGCTGGGGTTCCTTCTGGCCCCCTGCAAGCGGTATGTCTGGTGCAATCGCCCGTTAGGAAAACACCATTCTCGAGCTGAAAACCCAGATCCAGAGGGGTTCGGCTGCGGCTGCCTCCACCCCCCGGTCACACCCCGGGCCTCGGCCCCTCCAGGACCCGGTCGAAGATAAACAAATCGCTCCCGCGCTCCCGACGGGAGGTGAGCGCTGACTCATAGGGAGCCCAGAGCGGGTCCGGTCGCCTCGGGAAGGAGGAAAAATGTGCAGATTTTTCCTCTCACGCCAGGGCCCGGTGCCCAGCTGGCCAATCATCGCCGGGCTGCGAGAATCGCACCAAAGTAGGTAAAAAATGTAGGGTGCCGCCGCCGGCGTCGTCGCCGCGCTCCCCACCCGCTCAGACCCTCGGCGCGCCCCGCCCAGCTGCACGCAGGCCCCGCCCCCGGAGGCACGCACACCTGGCCAGGTGGCTGTTTCTATATATGGGCAATGGCGGTGCAGTAGGCGGAGCATAGAGCGGTCACGCCCCTTACGGGGGAGAAGCCGGGTTTCTCCTCATTAGATGTCCTTTGCCCACTCCTGGTCGGCAAGTGTCAGCCCACTCTCCACCTCTTTGCCTAGCAGAGGAGGAAGGACCCGTCCACAGCCCTAAAGACTGCAGCTGGCTAAGGGGACTCGCCCTTCTGCCCCTAGCAGGTGAGCGACGCCCACGCAGTCCAGACTCCCGGCGGCCCCCGGGCTGGGGCGTAGCAGGGCTGGCCCGTTGCGTAGCAACGGCAGGCGGTGCGTGACGTGCGCAGGCGCGTTTTGACCCGAGGCGCGCGACCGCCCCTTGGTAGGCTCGCGGCGCCGCGTCGGCTCTGCGCTCGCTCGCTCTCTGGGTCCTGCTTCCGTGAGGGGATTGCTCCGCACTCTCGGCGACTGCAGGCTCTCTCCCTTGCGTCCCTGCGACAGCCGCGGCGAAGATGGTGAGTAGAAAGGAGCCCCGGGCGCGAACCGAGGCGATTGGGAGCTGCGGGGCTCCTAGGCGCCGCGGGATCGATACTGTGGGGGTGGAAGCCGCGCAACCCGGTCACAGGGGGACCTGGGCCCTGCTGTGGTCTCGGCGGGGGAGGAGCCCTTGTGCTCCCGAGGAGCCCGCGTCTCCCGCTGATGCCAGACCGCCGTACCGGCCCCAAACCTCGCGCCAGGCCTCAGTGCGGCAGCTGCGGCCGAGCGTCCCACCCGCCCCGGGCGCCGGTCGGGGTCTGCAGAGCGGGCGAGGGGCGCTCAGAATCCGGTCGCGGCCCCCTTCGGCGCAGGTTTCTGTAAAGCCGGCGCTAGGTGACCCGTGCGCGTTTCCGTCTTGAGGTCTTTGTATCAATAAGGAAAATAAGGCCTTTATTGAACAAGCCCGGAAGGCGTACCCTGGCTGGGTTAGGAACCGGGTGGCCTTGCCACCGCTTTGTTTGTCGTATCTGGCAATCAGCTTCCAGCAGCACTCTCGGGCTTGTCAGCCTTGGCAGTGTGTCTTTTAACCCTTCCCTGCCCGATGCCTCCTTGTGGGCTTGGAAATTTTTATTTATCTGAGAACAGTTAAGACTGTGCCAGGATTTGGATGCGGGCATGATGTTGGGCTAATACAACAAATTCAAAAATGTTTCAGAAGTCCTTTGATTTTGCTTAATTACACATATTTTTTTTCCTCTGCACTGTTACTCTGCTGTAAGAGAATTCTCAGCCGGGCTACCAGGTAGAACATTTTGTCACTTTCTGAAGCTGCACACACTGTTACCATTTTTGGTCAATGATTTGCAGGCAAAGCCTTACCGGACTTTGCTAGAAGTACTGCCCTAGAAATACTGCCCTGTTAATTGCATCTGTTCGCCTGGAAGCAGTTGGTACCAGTTTATCTGTAGACAGTGTGTTCACAGAGTAACAGTGTAGGTTTTCTTACCATAGAGCAACTTTCATGAAGATGGAGCATTGTTCCTTCGTGGAAGATTAGCTGGTAGTTTTTGATATCTGGAATGTGTAATAGGGAGTTGATAGTCTTTGGTTCTTTGTAGTAAACTGCAAAGAGGATCAGCATCTTAATTCTTTTTAACCTCTTTAAGATTTTAAATGTGTATGCTGTTTTATACTAAGCGACTTTTTAAGGACTTTGAGGTCTCATAAACTTAGAACTGTCCAGTTGGTGGAAAGTGCTTTTTGAAGTGAGCTGGCACTTGCTCCAGGGTCTTGTTTTTTGGTTTGGTTTTGGTTTGATTTCTGATACAATATAGACTTTCGGTTGAAAATAGAACCAAACATTTAACTTTAGTTATAACACTTCTGAACTGCTGTACAGTCAAGTAAAATGAAGGAAGAATCGTTATTTTCTGGTGCTTGGAGAGAGAGGAAGAAATAAAAATTTAAAATGATAGATTCTAAATCCATTTCAAACTTCGTTGCTTTGTGGTAGTCCAGAAAGCCCTTACAAGCTACTTTTGTTTAGATGCTTGCAGAGAACAAAGTTCAGAACACAGACTGGTTATTTTTAAAAGTTACTTTTACATTTGATTTTACAAGCTGAGCTGTTCGTTCCAGTTATTAGAAAATATTGTGAAGAGGGAAGAGTTCCGTTATTATTCTAGGTTCTAGCACTTTCTGTATTTGGAACTGTTTAGATTTGTTTGGTTAGATGCTGGGGCCAAGTTGTTTGTTCTTCTATTTTAGGTTAAATTTTAACTATTAATTGGGTGTATTTTGGGTTCATTTGGTTGTTTTCTTTTGACACAGGGTCTCACTATGTAGTTCAGGCTGGCTTTGAACTCACTGTGTAGTCTGAGCTGGCCTCAATTTGCAGTAATCCTCTTGCCTCAGCCTCTGGGGTGCTGGGATACACCCCAGGTGGCTCCACACCTGGCCAAAGGCGAATTCTAAATTAGCAGAATTACTTCTTGGTATTCATCAGCTCTTTTAGAAGTATTTGGAATAAAACAGATTGAAACTAACTTTTAAAAACCCCATCCCAGGGGCTGGGGATTTAGCTCAGCGGCATAATCGCCTGCCTTGTAAAGCAGGCAGTTGTGAATTCGATCCCTGGTACCGATAAAAAGGAAAAAGACAAAAAAAAAAAAAAAAAAAAAAAAAAAACCCATCCCAGGCACATTACAGTGAGAGTTCATATTTTCAAATCCCTTATTCTTCAGTGTCTGCCTGCTGCCTCTAGACATTCCAGGTGAACCCCTGTGTGTGTGTGATAGGTGTGCCGTGTTCCTTTGTGTATGCAGAGTCAGAGCCGTGTGCCAGCCTACTGTGAAGTTCTTAAAGGTGTTTGTATGGTGGTTTTCTTGGCTGTGGGCTGTGACTCACAAGTAGACCTGCCTACCTTTTCTTGTAATCAAGGTGTGCATTTGCAGTATAATTGGCTTAGGCTGAACTACAAATGTGTTTTACCACACTTTTACTTATGGCAGCCCAGTGAAGTAGGCCAAGCACTTCTCCTGTGCCTGTGTAACATCTGAGAAAGCAGACTGAAAAGTGACCAATCACTTTTTCTGAGTCCACATCAAGTTTCAGAATAATTTTTAAAACTTTTTGAAATGTTTTAAGGACTAACAAGTACAAGTTCATGAATTCAATTCCTGATACTCAGAAAAAAAAAAAAAGAAACATTTTAAGGAGTAAAGTACACAGAATAAAAATCCCTTTGTATAAAAAAGGTTGTTTTTTTTTGCAATATTTCAGATTTCATGTTGCCTTTGCAGCAACATGAAATGGTTACGCTCTAACCATTCCCACCCCTCCTTAGAGACAGCCACTCTGGGGCCCAATATGTTAATGTACTGGCTTATGAAGGTGATGATTTTATTCAGGTCACTGCAGATTAGGAGACTATTCATTAGGAAGAAGCTTCTCAAACAGAAAGAAGACCTGGGCTGGGCAAAGCTAGGAGCCTCCAGAAGGATGGAAGTGGCTCCCATCCAAGTGAGCACTTTGCTCTTTGTAGTTGCTGTTAGTCAGGACGCCTGCCGACTGCTGGTCTGCTCGGCAAGACGGGCCCATGATTTCCACAGCCGGCTAAAATCGGTCCGATCCATGCTAACGCATCACCATGTACATGTGGTTTTTAAAATTTATATAAATTATTCTCATGTCACCTTTTGTAGATTTTTTTAAAAAGCCAAAAAAAATTTTTGGTCTTTTTTTAGGCTGACCTTGAGTTCACTAACTTTTTTTTCTTTTTCTTTTTTTCTTGTCTGTTTCTTTTTTATTAGTACTGGGGATCAAACTTAGGACTGCCTGCTTGCAAGGCAGGTGCTTATACCGCTGAGCTAAATCTCCAGCCCCTAGTTCACTAGCTTTTTTGTGGGGAGAGTTAGCTTTTGCTTTTAGCTATAGGTCTAGTTGTGTGGGGTTTTTGTTTTGTTTTGCTTTTTGTCTTTTGAAACTTTTTGCAACAGACATTTCCAGATCTTCCTGTACATTACTTCCTTTCTTGGTGTTTGTGTAGGAGTGAGCCCTGGGCTGTCCTATGGTACATTTCCTACTCTGCTGGTTTGTTTACTTTGTGTCCCATTGCTTATAGCCTACTTTTCCATTTCTTTTCACCTGGTATTAGACACTTAAAACCTGTGTCCATGTGACCAGCGTGAAATGATTTCTCCTTATTTTGATCTGCATTTATTTTTCTTTCAAGGATTATTGAATCCTTTTGTTCTTGGGGTACTGATGACTGAACCTGGGGCTTCATACATATTAGGCGAGTATAGAGCTACACTTCCAGTCCACGTGATGTTTTTGCACACGTTGCATCCTATGAGCCTTATGTCATATGATTTTGTGTCTATTAGAAAGAAACCTTTAGTGGGAATGCGATTGTTGGTACTAGCGCCTCATAAGGACAGAGTCCCTCCGTCCCAGAACACAAGTGTCTTTGCAGCCTCACTAGGAGAGTCACAGAAACTTGCCACTCTTAGTGCTGTGACCTGCCACTTCCTGGCTCCTGGTAGTGGACACATAGCGTGATCTAGGGTAGGGCTACTGCTTAGCCTGAGCTCTGTGATGAGCCCTTCAGTCGTAGGCTCCTGTTCCCTGGATAGTTTCTGAGTCCAAACCTTAAACACACACAACTCCTGTGGGAGCGCTTGCTTTCTGCTCAGGTCTGCCACAAACTAAAACTCCAAAAAAATAGAACCTACTGGAAAACATTCAGAACAAAACAAATAATTGTTTCATAAATACAATTGGTTTAAATAAAATAGTATTTAGTGTTTAACTTAGTATTAAAGGGGATCCAAACTTTTTTTATGCTAATGCAAGTGTATTTTCTTTCAATACTAAAAACTTTGGGATGAATGTACCATACTCAAACTTTGAAAAAGTGTTGAAGCTTTCAAAAACTGAACTTCACACAAATGCATTGTTTTCAGCTAGTGAGCAAAACCCCAGTCCCCTGGATAACCAGCATGCTGTCCTTATTGCACAGTCTGCCGTTTGTGTGTATAAACTAGAGTGAATGAAGAGAGAGTGTTTTCCCTTTGAGTATAGCATTCTTGTCCATATTGGCCATGAAAGTTGTATCCAAGGTTTGCATATAACACTGGAGAAATATCCCCAAGCACAGTTATTCTTGTCCTTGCTTCCTTCATGTTGATGTTAGAAACTAGAAGTTTTTGCCTGGAATTGTCCTTTTGAACTGTGCCCTGTTAATTTTTCTTGAAAATGTTTTAAGAAAGGTGTAGGTTAGGAAAATAAACAGGTTCATTCCACTTGGTAGTGCTTTGGACAAACTTCCTGCACCTGTCAGAACCCGCTGTTCCAGGGCCTCTGTTGAACTTGGTGGATGTTAGTCTGGAGTGGTTCTTAACCCTAGCGCCAGACTCCAGCAGCTTATGTGCTGTGCTGCCTGCTGTATCCCACTGTGTGCTTTATTTATTTATTTTTGGAATTAGAATTGGACTCAGGACCTCGAGCTTGCCATACTGGCATTGACCTGCATCTC